CAATTGGGTCTACTTCAGTCTTCCCTTTTCAGTCCATCCCTGTTCAGCTAGGAGGAATATTTCATTAGATTCCTCCAGTAGCTGCTCCCCTTCTGAAGTGGTGTACATAGCCAAATGCAAACTCTGTCTCCGCTGACATCAGATTTTGTGCCCAGTCTCAGTAAAAGGCTGCAGACACGGAACAGCTAATTTCTCTCCCGATAAACCAGTTTTCCTGGATAGAAGACAGTCAGTGGTAATTTCTTTCCAGCAGGAGAAAACAAAATTGCTTTTGCCACTATTATAACACAACAGAGGTAAAGGTCAACCAAGAAGGCAGTCAAATCCCACTTCCCAAATGGAGTCTGGCTGATTGATTATGTATAGAGCATCCCCAATTTCATACAGTACTCATGATGAGAATACAAGTGCTCTTTGTCATGACAGTTGCTTAAAATGATATGCCTCCCAAAATGTATCTTGGTAAGCTGGAGATATAGGTCTGGTCTACATTTAAGATATACTAACACACTTGCCTATATAGGACTTAATTTTTTAAAGCCCTCAAAAAGATGTAGTTACTGGCAAAAAGAGAGAGACGGATTGAGCGGGACAGCAAAGCAGACACACTTTTCGGGGCAATTGATTTAAGTTGGGTCCAAAGAATGCTACCAAAAGAATGCTTTGCTAATACAGCCCGTCTCCTCTCAGGAGATAAAGTGATACAAATTATCACTTTCAAGTACAAAGCTAACAAAAATTACATTTACCAGAGGACATGCTGAACTGGGATGCTTCCCTCTCCACCGCTATGAATAACACTGGCAACAAAATCTTACGAGGGGAAAAAAAAAATCAACTAGCTTGCTATGTTTTATACACCCTCAATTCAAGCTCAAAGAAAGAAAGGCAAAGCAGAAATTATCATGCAACAAGAACTTGACTACCGTCAGCAAATAAAGTGAAGGTAAAATAACACCCAAAGAAAATAACTGGAAAAGAGGTAATGGGGGTCAGGACGAAGGGAGGAAGGACAAAAAACAGATTCTCCAAACCTCTCTCTCTTTTCTCCCGTAAGGAAGGAGAAGATGTTTGGATCTTGCTCATTTTGCTTTAATGGACACAGTACATGAGATCACATACTTGCACTCCCTTACATATGTAAAGAAAAAAAGAATTGCCTTGCAAATAGGATATTTCAATTTGTGAACAGCCAAAGCTCATGGCAAATCTTAAAAAGGGACCTCTTTCTCTCAAATTATCAAATGTTTTATCCCCACCTCCTCCAAATGCAGGTAGCTTTTGTAAGAATTTTCACCTTTGCACTGTCGTACATAACCGGACAAATAATACATGATGTGCAAATAAGTCATACTGCTCTGTGCAAGTCAATAGGAGCAGTGAGATGCTGAATGTGTGTTAAATCTACACTTGAAAGTAAAATATTCCTCCTACTTAAAAATTAATTATTAAAAATTGTAAAGAAAGAAAAATAAAAAAGCCTTACTCGCCAAACTCATAATAAAATTCAGGAAGACTCAGAGTTAATTGAAAAGCAGAAAGAAACTTTAGACATTTATATTTAACTGAAGATTCTTCCAAGACTCCATTGTAGGTTTCTTGAGTTGATGATTAAATATTTATGTGAAAAATTGTTTCTGGTATCTTTCGTACTTTTATCTCTTCATTCACAATAGTCATAAAAAATGAAGATAGATTATTCAAGTTTGGAATGCAAGAACAAATCGTTACTTTGACTCTATGAAATCAAAGTACACACAGACATCCTCACATGGCTCTGAGGTGACACAGAATTGGAAGCAGCAACTCAAAACCATTAGCACTTGAACTTACAAATAATTATCAACAATGTTGTCTACTGGGTTCCTCAAAAATACTGCTCCAGAAGTTCTTTTTAATGCATTCATTGAATAATGTGCAAATATTAGATCAAGATTTTCAATTCCAGTTCCAATTATTTTGTGTTCAATTCTAGAAAGATTTCAGAATTTAGTTCTAAATTCTAAGACTGATAAAACAGCTCAAATGCAGCTCAAAATCATAAAAACTTTTATATGAACTTGGACAAGCTGAAATTTCTGGTTTTCATTTTCTATAAAACTGAGATATGTATTCATACCCCCAACAGTGACGGTGAGATTTAATTAACCAGCATTACTGAAGAGATCTGAATTCCATTAAAGGAAAAACTATACTGGCATTATGCATTATCATAAATATTCAGCATCTGTAATCAAAAGAAGACTTTGGTGTTTACATATATAACAAAGTTTTAATAATTCACTAGCAATATTTCACACAGAGTAATGCTGCCTCTTACTTCTGGAAAAGGGAAAAATGGATTTAGAATTTTAAATCTCAAACCTTTCAACTGAAAATTAAATGTTCCCTTTTATATAAAAATGAACATTCCCAATAGCAGGTTAGTTTCCCAAGAGATACTGACTCTACGCAGCACAGGTCTTGCTTTCGTTCTCCTCCAACACGCAGACAGGCTAATTGGTCACAAGCACAATGCAGGAGATGAGTTGCCTGGGCTCTAGGTGTCCTTTTTCTGCTTGTCCAAGTTAAGACCAACCTAAAATAAGTCTTTTGGCCTGCTCTTGTCTAGAAGAGCACAGTCAATACACTTTTTCAAGGACTGAGGTTCAAACATCCCATGGCTGCTGCCCAAAATTAAGACTATCTCAGAGTGAAATTCTCAGCAGTGAGTCTACTGAAAAGAGGCATCTGTTATCCGGATTTTTCTTCAAGAGACTTGGAAAGCCTAAATTAGTCCACTCAGTAGTGGAAGTGACTTGGGATAAGACAGAACCCTAACAGCGGGCGGCTGACCATCACATCAGAGTGCTTACGATTGAACTGTTGGGTTTGCTATCAATCAAACTCTAAGCTACACAATAGTTAATCTGGCTATTTTCTCAAGCAATTGAATATGGGTTTTCTGTCCACTGGAGATTAAAGGATTTGCGATAAACTTCCAAGAGAGCTGCTTTATCATATATATATATTTTTTTTTTAATCTGCAGGCAGACGGAAGTATACCACTGGCAAAAGACATATAGGTGCTCAAACAAGCAAAATGGCAGGAGGAGAAACTGGACAATTATTGACTGCTGTAAACAATCCGACTTCACAAATGCTCTTTCAGGGGAAATACCAGACTAAGTGGTAAAGAACTGAGTTAAACAAAATATCTAACTCTTTCCCATCCAGACAGATACTTTCAGTGGCAGAGAACAATTTGGCTCTGGCTCTGGAGCTCCAGATGGACAGCAGTTGCAAGGAATGCTGTTTCTGTATCTGAAGTTTCATTAGCTTGTTTGTCTACTTCCTTGGAAAATTACTTTAGGTTCAGAAGTACTTTACCTTCTCTGAACAAGCGTCTTTCACTTTCTACAATTAATAGACAAAACACTGGTCAGATATAGTCACAAAAGTCAGTTTTTGAATTGTGTAGCTGTCTGACTCAAGAGATGCAACTGGGAATGCAGAAAAGGGAGCCCTAAAACACAGGAAAAATCCCAGCTGACCACCAGAACAGACTCGTCCAGTCTGCCACAGCAGGAGTGAAGAGGGAGAGCCCCATTATCTAGGGCCATGCTAAAAGGGTACCGCCTTCTCAAGTAGAGTCCAGCTGAATAAATACAACTGAAAGTCAATAACCAAAGCCTTTTTACAATAGCAGTGCTCTAGGAACCTGACTGGAATTTGAACATTTGCATTGATTTTTTAAAGTTACCAGCCGAGAATAAGCACTCAAGAGAAGGTGCAGTGATTGCTCCGGATGAACATGAATCACTAGTAAAGGATTACCTTTTAAAGGATTATGTTTTAAACAAAGAAAAATTTGGTACACAAATCAAAAGAAACAGATTAATCTAACAGGATTATCGGGTAAGGCTTCTCTGTACTTTAATGACCAGATACATAGCTGAGAAACATGAACGGTTTTATTTAAATGTCTCAGTGCAGTTGTGAAGCACCTTTTCATGTGACAATCCCCTGCTTATGGCTCACAAATAATAGCTGCTTATTCAGTTAAGGTTGTTAAAACAAAAGCCTTGACTTATTATTCTCAGTCTCACAAGCAACAGCAATCTTCCGACTTTTTACAGAGCCCTTTCCTTTACCCTTGCACATGTAAGCTCTGATCTTCAAGTCCTTTTAACTCTAGCCAGGAAGAAAGATTAGTAGCTGCCTGTGCTGCTACTACGTTGTGAAATATCCAGAACTGAGCTCTTTTACTTCCCTCTGGGAGGCAGAGTAAGTAACAGAAAACTGAAATCTAAAACTGCGTGATTTTTTTCTGAATTGTTAACACTCATGGCCACAGTACTACAGTATCACAAAAAGCAAAATAGCATCAATCTCCTTAAAGAAAATAGTTTACGTATATTATCAAACATTACTCACTATAAGCACTTGTGCCTCTTTGTCCTACTCAGAGATACTCTGGTAGCATCTCTTGCATGCAAAAAAGATTTCTATCAAAATCTAACTTGATTCTTCTCAGATATAGAATAGGGTAAACAACCCAGTTAAAAAGAAAAAAAAAGGGACTTATAAACAAAAGCCTCATTAATTTACTAAAATGACTTTTTACCTTGTTTTAATTTTGTAACATATAATTTTAAAAAACAATTTATTTAACAGACGTTCAAGGTTCCCTCAAAGTAACTTAAATAAAAATCCTAACTGCTTCAACACAGTATAAGATAACAGCGTTCATTTTGTTGATGTTTTCGGTCAGTCCGCTATACAGATCAAGATTAATCTAAACCAGAGGGTAAGATGGATTCAGGAACAGTCACAAACCTTGTGTCTTCACTGTACGTAAACATTTTTGACTCAGGTGATCTTTTTCCCCATCTAGTAATTTTACATTTCCATCTTTTGAACTTGTCACATATTGTTTTATAAACAGCTAAGCTCTACATTTCCTCAGCATATATTTCACATATGTTAAAGAATAAAGATGCTATTAAGGCAAGACTTACCTCCTCCACCTCCAAGAAGGCTGGAATTAGCTGTAAGAAGAACAAAAGGAGAATCATTAGCACTGACCTTCCTAAATGTATCTGGAACCAAAAAACAGAAGAAATATGACGTAACATTTTCCATTGTTTCAATAACTTTGTTATTCTAAGGTTAACCAAAGACATTTACTGCAAACACAATATTTTTATTTACCTAAACTAAAACACAGTATTTATCTTTACACTATTTTGCAATATCTTTGAATAGCTAAAATAGTAATAAAGTTACACAAGCTAAATATGCTGAATACCTCACAAAATTACAATATTGAATTTATAGTTCTATAAACTGTATTTCTTTCTGATTAACAAATGAAGTAAAACCATCTTTCACTTTAGAGAAACAGACTGTGATGCAACTTATGATTAGCTCTCCTCATTTTCTATGACAGGGGACCGTTAAGAACGATGATGAGAAACTTTGACCCCACTGAAAACAAAGGGAGTTTTAGCATTGTTTTCAATTAAGTTAGGATTTCACCTAGCATGCTTAATTGCTTCTGTAACACAACTACCCAGCTATCTGTGTCAAAAACAGATAAATCATTCATGGAAAGCAATTTTCAGAGTACAGTGATCCAAGATGGTCATTTAAGTTAAGCTAGTACAATTGGAGCCATGCCAAACATTTTCCTTTCACAGCCTAGGCAAAAGCAGAAGAAAAGCCTAAGCCTCTAAACCTGCTTGGAGTGCAGTAGTCACCCTTTAGCCGTAGGGCAAACAAATTCCCTTCCTACAATAATGCAGATTTAAAAACAAAAGCAAGAGGAAAAGGGATGGACACAGGTATTCCTTATGGCTTGCTGATGAGTAAAGGAGAAGCAAGACAGCAAACCACTCCCTGCTCCACGACAAAAGCAGACAGCAAGATACGCAGAATAAATTAAGTATTTTCCAGTATCCAAACTTCTTATTGTTACAAGTTATTGTTTCTATGATTTACCTCTACTTCCTAATTACCAGGCTTTAAACAGCAAATTCTCTGCTAGGTTTTTTTTTTTTTTCTCCATCATTTTTCTGGAGACTACAAAAGAAAAACAGTTACTTTGGTTTTCCTTGTTTCTTTTTTAGATTCTCTGCATACTCCTTTAACATCCACTTGCAGTTTCACCCGTTGCAGCCCACTTTCCCTGACACTGCAGTGAAACTGTCTCAATTGACAAGCTACACCTTTCATCAAAATAGCATAACCAAGATCAAAGAGAGATTTCTAACTTTTAAAAGCAACATATACCTTTAATAGTATTGTCTTTACAGCGACTCAAGCAGCAGTGGCTCTAGACGATTTAAAATGCAGTGCTTTTTAAAGGAGTAAAGATGCTGTTGTACATCCAGCCTAATAGACAGTATCTCTCAAAGCAAAGTATACCACAAAGTACATGAAGTTATCCATCCTAGGACTAGCAGTTCCTTCTCTCATTGAACGAGGGCGTCGTTCAGGCCAAACCCAGAGGGATGCTTTCATACATCTTTCTGATCAAAACCTAGTTCTAGTTCCTCGGAAGAGGAGATGGAGAAAGACTGAGCAAACCTTTTTTTCTAAAACTAATTTCAACTCAGCCTTCGTAGCCATTCTCAAAGAATTGCCCTTTTTTGAGACACAGAAAGGCTGGAGCAACGGGCACAAACATAAAATGGAAAACCGAGAAAGAGACAGCACAATCGTCCACACTTGAGCGTCACATGCACTCAACGTGACAGCTGAGCTGGTCTGACACAGCCTTCTGCTGACAAAATGGGAAGTCTCCCACCTCCCTCCTCCTTCTGTCATTCATCCCTGGCAAGTGACATCCTCCCTTTTTTGGTCTCAAGATTCCTCCTTCAGATTCAACTCAGTAAATCAGCTGCAAACTATCCATTGTTTTTCTTGGTTCGGTTTTCCAACACTTTACTGAGGTGAACTGGCTCATGGAGCGATACACAAGTTGCAGACCTCTGACTAGGAGAGAGAAGATGGGGACAACACAGATAGTACGACACCTCCCTTTTGGCTATGGCAAACTGTTAGATTAGCTCAAGATCTTCAATTAACTTTCACACATTTACACCCCATGAATCAATTATTTTGCTAACACATCACCATCACAGCTACTTGGCTGCTATATTGCACAACAAGAAGGAGGGAACAAATACTGCCATATATAAATTGCCTTTGAAAAGACGCATTAATAGTAATAAATATGTCGGCAGACGTACTGCAAAGAGTGTCACTGAACCTCAATTCCTATATATTTACCTGCTCTTGCTCTCACTGAAATTCAGTATCGAAGACAGGCACAAATTAAAAATGACCAGATATTTTCACAGCAGCTCCCAAACTGCTCCTTTAACTAGTAACATCACCTTCTCTGCAGTAAAATGAGTACATCTGAGATAAAAACCAACATACTTCAAATCAGAAGAAAATAAAAATAAAAAAGTTATCTAATGCCATGAATCTGCAATTCAAGATTATTCTTTTTGGCATGGTAGGACGAACCTACAATTTCCATTCTTGTTTTTGAATGAGTCAAGTTCTAGGATTTCAAACATTACCTTTGAGAGATACATCTAAGGTCTGCTAAATTTCACTGTTAGAAAAGTTTCTACCGCTGAAAAAACATTTCTTCTGATACTCAGCCAACATTCCCATTGTAAACGCTCATTTGCTGGCTTCTCAGAGAATTATGTTTCTCTCATTAAGTTTTTCTTAAAATGCTCATCTTTCCAATAATTTCCAAAGCTTGTTAATAACATGTAGTACGAGTCAGCATCACACACTTCTCTATAGAAACAGCAACAACATTTCAAACAGATTTTTGGCTGTAATGCATCTATTAAAGCTATTGGAAATGCAGTAATAATTTATAAGGGTTTTTTTTAAGCATTATGCTTGCATACTAGAAGGAATATCAAACTATTTTCCTACACTGCCAGGACAGGCCATGACTGAATTATATTTGCAATATCCTTTCTAGAAAGATAACGTGTCATTCAAAAAACAAGAACTTCTATTTTCCCATTTTTCAAATCCTACCTGCAAGGTTCGGTGAAATATACCTCTCTTTCACTTTTGGGAAAGCTTTACCGTTAAAGAAGTAACTCGCCACTTCGCACCTTAAGGACACCTTTCCCTGGCCAGAGTGCTCATCACTACAACTTTCACCTTCTGCTGTCAGGGGCAAACAGCTGCTAATTTGGATTCAGAGAGCAGGCTGGCACAGCCACACGGCGCTAATCCCACCACATTACCTAGGAGCCTCTCTTCTCAGTCCCCCAGCATTAACCCACACTTGATTTTCATCCATCAGCGCTTCCAAAATCTTAAGCCTAGGAAAACACCTGAAACGGGCTCCTGCTGTGGAGGTTCAACTATGGTTAAGCTATGCAGGTAGGAGCAACCAGCAGTGGCTCTCTCCAAAACCTGATGCAGTCCACATTGCCGCCCAGGTTGCACTGTTACCCTGTGTGCATACACAACACCTAAATCAGGGCATGTCCAGTCTTAAGTAGTACACATGACAACATTTGTAGACAACCAGTAAATCTATCTTGGCCAAACTCCTGTCCTTATTTCTCTATTCCTGAGTTGAACACATGCTTCTGAAGTCATACGAAACTTGGGGGGAAAAAAGAGGAAGACTATTTTGTTGCCAAGACAAGGAACGGCGAAAGAAAACAAATAAGCATGAGAGGAATGCGAAGCAAAGACTTCTTGTACCTCATTCCATTTCCCACGATACCCTTTCAAGCGGACGTGTGCAATCTTCCTAAAACTGTGTCCTTAAAAACTGCAGTTCACAACAGATTCCTGCGCATTAACTTTGAAAATCCAGTCAAAATACAGACTTTGAAATATAATTTTAATTTGCACTCACTTATACTAAGAGGAGTCATGACGCAAAATGACTACATACTTTCCTGGTCAGACTGTGAAACATTTCACACGTTGATAAGGCTTCATCCAAAACACCTCACTTAGCTATCGCTGTCGTTTGCAAGAGGCAGCAGAGGTGAGAGCTCATCTAACTTTAAATGTGTGCACCTCAGCCAGTTAACACAGGCTTCAACGAGAAAAACAGACACATTTTTGGAGCAATTCCCATGATATATTTTAAATATTGGTTTCAGGATGAGACAAATTGCAGTGCAGGAGACCCTGCACGTCTGCACTACTGTAAAAGGAGTCTTGACCTCTAGATTTTGAGAGGCAGATCTCACCCTCCTCACAGTCTGCCTCGGTACCGAGAACAGACGCATTAGAAGTATTAGCATTAGAAGTAAACAGCATTTCTACAAAGTTCAGGCTCATCTCTAAGGAAAAACTGATCCTTTCTAAAAAAACCTGTGCTTGTTCACTGAGCATAATGATTTGGCCCTTAATGAGATATTTATGACCCGGGATTCAACAAGAAATTGCCAGACTTCACTTGACTCAGCACCTCAAAGGACTAGATTTTTTATTCTGTTTAACATCCGAGAGAAGCAGCACCAGCATAGCGCTACTAAACAAACTCCATGCGTGCTGGTCTCTTCTACCCAGCAAAATCACTTCTTGCTCGAAGAAACCAAATTCCTTCCAAAACACTTAGGGGAGGGGGGGAATGACTTGGGAGGAAAGAATTTAGGGTAAGCTTAGTTTCTCATTTCGAAATATCAGCAATGAAATCTCAAGTTTGAATAATGAGTATACCAGTATATTTGACAAATAAGAAGCGGACATGAATGTTTTAAATTTCAGCCTTCTTAATAAGTTTAAGTCTTATGGCCTCCCAACATTTTTTGACTGAATACGCAGACCAGAAATTCTGGCACAAGTCCTGACATTTTCTTCAATGTTCTCTTTACAACAATGTCCTTGCCAAAAAGAAGCATTATTTGAAATTTTCTGGAAAGGAAATGAATGCTGAAGAAGTTCATCTCAAATGAAACTGAAAATCTTCCTGCACTGTAACCCAAAGGGTATAAAAAGTGAAAAAAGGATGCCACTTAAATGGATGTTTACAGACATA